GCCTCTCAAAGCTAAGCCACCAAGTCAAACAAGCTTTTCAACATTAACAAGTATGAGAACAATCATCCTACAGCTACATATGACAAGTCCATACTTTTAATAGAATAGTTAAGATCCTCCTGAAAAAAGTATTTCCTCAATAAACATGCAATGATAATTTTAATACTTAGATGCAAAAGATACATTTTCAAACCACATATGCACTGGAGGGGAACATTAACTTCTTTGTGTATTTTAATTCTGGAACACTTTACCCAGGGTTCTTCTATTCATTCAAGTGTGTGAATGACAGCAGAAAACACTTAAATCCCTAAGGATCATTTGACAATATGCAGAATAGAGCCAAATTCTACAGACCCTATCTAAGTATAGAGATTTCTCAGGATTTTTAGCATCCAGATGAAAATATTTGAAGCAACAGAGTGAGAAATTATGGTATTTCTCATCTCAGTATCTGTGGGGAGATCTGACACGATGAAAAAAAGCTTTAAACATCCTGGCCATGGCTTTTTTGTAAGAGAGACCCCATAGTAACTGGACTAGTAAGTGCACATATTTTTAAGTATTTGGGAAGTTTGCCTTAAGGCATGGAATTTTGCTTTCTCTTAATGCTTACGTACTTTAGGAGAAACTTAAGATGTAGGAGAAAGGAGACCAAAAGGAGTATTACCACTCAAAAATACTGAGGTTATCAGCAAACAGCTGTTAATGATAAAATTCTCTACTCCTAAATGGAAGGAGTGAAAAAAATGGAAGGGTTTAAAAATCAAGTAAATGCTACCACGGTATTTCTGAACTTACACCTGCGCAACCTGTGATGTTGTGACAGATGCCTATGACAACATGGAAGAGTTTAATATAGAATAATCAATATTTCTTGTAGGAAGAATTTTAATATATACTGTTCACAAACAACTGGAAAAGAAAAAATTGGTCAAGAGCTATTACATACACTGCCTTTGGTCTAATATATTTTACAGCTACAAGTGACTGGAACCTGGGTGAGCTCTTTAGGAAAGCACCCTTCATGTTTCCCAATCCTTACGCTCTTTCTTGAGCATCTGCAAGGGCCCCTGACAGAGAAAATACACTGGATTAGGGGAGCTTTTGGTCTAACTTAGTATGAACAGCCCCCTGTTCTAAGCAATCAAATATAACAACTCACATACGTTTTGGTATAAACCAAGACAATACCCTAACCAAATCCATCTCGTTATAAGCCTTCTAGGAAAATATGGGCTTAATTTTAAACCATGTCTTTTTCTGTGCAAATCGTCTTCCATTTGACACATGTCAAACTAGGATTTGTGTTGGTCTTACAGTTACCTTCAGTTTCTTTTACAAATTAATTTTAGTATGCTGTGGACAGCTCAAATATAAAGACTATTTGACATAAAAACCATTCTATTTCTCCAAAATAGAATTTTACCCCTTACATTTCTGAAAGTGGAAAACTACCTAATAAAGTAAAATCTAGATACAGTTATGGTACCAATAATTATAATAGTTTTGACTGTTTGGGAAAATTTTTGTCCTAGATTTTACTCCTTTTTTTTTTTTAAGGGGTAATTTCAAGGCTGACTTATTTTTGCCCAGGATTTCCTTACAGTAGGTATATACAGGAAGCATGATGGTTTTTGGAGACACTACACCTATGAAGCACACACATTTACAGGAGCTGTAAATCTAAGGCTTACTGTGTACGTGCACATGGATTAAATAGTACCTGTGGAAAGTCCACCTCATGTTTTGTATAAGCACTAGTGGCTGCAGTATGGTTATAAAGCCCCAGTGCACGTGCTCTTCATCCCATATAGGACAGCCAGAGAGAGACATGGCAGTTGACAGGAGAAACTGCCACATAGAACCCTGTAAAGCAACTGATCAAGTCCTCAAATTGAAACAGATTAGATTTCCTGGCTAGAAAAAAACAGGAGATATATGTGATGCTCACATGTATGGTAACTGCAAATAATAAAATCTACTTCTCCTTTGATTTGCTTTATGTTACTTATGTAAGTGAAATTTCTGTACTTTTTAGTTTACAAGCAAACTAAAAACAGAAGACCAGAGGCAATCAAAAAATAACCACAAAACCCTCATTCCAGCACATTCCTGTAGTTAAATTGACTAGAGGCAGTGCCAATTACTAGCAGAATAAACTATCATTAAAAAATGTAATCACTCACTAAAACCTTTGAGAAAGTCTGAGATGCTTTGTGAACTTTTTTTTTGTTAATTAATGAGAGCATTAACCCACTGGGTAATGCTGAAGGGCACAGTGGTGCCATGTCAGAAGCTATAAGCATAACAGTGATAAAATGAAACAAAGAAGCTAATTAAATCAGGACTGCAACTGGTGGGAAGAGCAGCATTGCATTTTGCCCAACAGTAATGCAAATAAATACTGAATGTACTAGCACATTGCTAAATGTATTCATATAATTTTAAATGGTGCATTTTTCTCTGTATCTTTGGGATTTCTTTCTAATAATGGAAAATACCTGCTTCCTTAGTATTTCAGCACTGACATACTACCTGCCTTCAGTTTTACTGCAAAAATGATGCAGGTCTTGGAAGTGATCTGAGACCTGCATAACAGCCCTCACAGGCGTTCAGACTAATGTTTATGTTGCCTTCACTCAAGACCAAAAGCATTTCAATAACAGGTCTGCAAAAACATAGAAATTACAATTACCATGTAAAGGCCAACTTTACAAGTACGCATACAGGTGCTATTTTGTGACCTCCACATTCTGGTGGAAAGGAACATCAGCAGATGGATTGCCAAAAGTTTGTCTATGGGGAAACAATCTCACTTTAAAAGGTGGCACCGATGAGGAGACCATTAAGTTTGAAAAACTTGTATATCCTTATCCCAACTTCAGGTCTCTAGTCAAAAATAATGTGTGGGGTTTGGTTTTTCCCCTCCATACTTTTGGCTTTATTAGGCCTATGCTCCCATTCCTTTCCTGCGGCCTGCGAGATCTCCTGCACATCACTACTCCCTTGGTCACTAAGAGCAATGTAGTGACTGTAACAATACACAGACACATCTCCTAAACACACAAACTATGAAAGCTTTTTGAAACAGCAAACCAATTCTACTACAATCAAACAATATGAAAGCAGTCACGTTCTTTCACAGAGAAAAACCACCCAAACCTCAACAGGGACACAATGCACCTGCAGAAGACTGACCTATCTTCCCATTCTCCTTTTAGTTTCAGTCTTGATATTTCCACTTCTGCATCTAAGTTCCCACTTCCACATCTCATCAGTAAAGCCCCAGGATACTAACTTGCTGCAAAGATCCTTTGTACTGCTTATTAGCAGATTATTCAGTCTTTAACAGAATAGAAAACTTAACTGTAAAGTGAAATGAAGTTGTACGAGCTCATGAAAGAATTTTTTTTTCCTGCAAATCATATGTAGAAGTTCAATCCACAGCTCTCTATTTCATAAAAAGATAAAGCAAAAGGATTCCATTCACAGACATCATTTAATGAAGAGACAGCGATAAACCAAAACTGCACTTTGCCAAGCTTCAAGATTGTCAATAAAACCTTTTGAACTCTTTGTTTTACTTTTGTTTTTCATACAGACATTTGTTTTACTTCCAGTTTTGTTAAGACAACTGCATAATGCAGCAAAGTGTTTTGTAAATTTAACAGACATCAGTGCTTCACTCATACAGTTTCCAATTCTCACATCTTGTGCAATGTTACAAGCATGCTGATGAAAAGTGTGCTTGTTTTCTGATTCATTAAGAACGGCTTACATGTTAAAGACGTAAGTGGACTGTGCTGTGTTTTTCCAATGCAACACAAATTGAAGGGATTTTAAATCAACTGAATTTCCAAGGTTTTCAAATGAGAAGCTGTGGTAGTTTGACCCACGGTGGGACCATGGGGTCCTGCACTCACTCCCCCCACCAGGTGAGATGGGATGGGAGACACAACAAAGGGGGCATGGGATTAGGAATGAAGGACAGGGAGGGCTCACTCACCAGTTATGGTCACAGGAAAAAGAAACTCAACTTGGGGAAGAAAAATCAATTTAATTTGTTGCCATTTCATCTGAGTAGACATAACAACCACATTTTACAACACCTTTCCCCACCCCTCCCTTCTTCCTGGCTTCAAATCACTTTGCTTTCACTGTCTCTACCTTCCCCCCACAGCAGCACAGGGGGCAGGGAATGGGGGTTCAGTCAGGTCACCTCTGCAGCTCTTCCCGGCATGAAAGTCCAGGAACAAGATGTTCCAAAGCAGCTTCCCATGGAGTCACGAATCTCTTCAGGCTCAGCTCCCGGCTCCAACATGGGGACATTCACAGGCTCCAGGCTC